ACAATAAATTTTCTGTTATCGACTAATCCGTTTATCAAACCCCTCTGAGCAGATGGAGAGCACATTGCACTTCATACTACTCTGACACTATAAAATATAACAGGATGTAAGGAATATGTTCAAGACCACTTTTCACATTCACTTCAAATGCCTCAGAGCAGTGGGTCAAGAGGTTTTTCCTGTCATGCTGCTGCAGTAATCCAGTCAAATACAACAGTCCTACAATAAATCCTCCCTTCATGATGGTTATAATGTTCATATTTTGCTGCAGCTGTTTTAGAGAGGTGCTGATTCGACTGCAGTTTGCGATGCTGTTTACTGTATTGTGTTATACTAAGCTGTTTCTAATATTTACTCCACTCTCATTAATACAGTGACATCTAGAACATTATCAAGGTATTTTTAGATGATCAGAATAAAGAGGAACAAACTAAAACAGGATTCAGCAGACTGATGCTTCTTTTAAAAGGCTGACCTCCGTGTATTCTCCCCTCAGACCGATGTAGTAGACCCTGGTGCTCTCTGCTCCGAAGTTCTTTGAGATGTGGATGGAGAGGTGCTGAACATTGGAAAAACGAGCAATCCTAGAAATCAGGACACAAGGAGACATTTTAGTTTGAGGTAACAGCTTGGAAATTAAATTCATCAACACTGAACCGTCTGTGTCTAAGAAACCAGGATGTAGTAGAGACTCTTATTAGAAGTTCACAGGAGGAATCAAATATCCTGAGCCATGGTATGCTGTGTGTTCGGAAATTTAATAGGAACACATCCACATGCACACAAGTGGAGACAAGCTTGACTTACTGAGACAACGCTTCTTTGACCAGATCACAAAAGATTTGATTTCACTGCATCACGTCATTGAGCGTCCAGAATTCACTCATGATGCAGCTTACATTCAAGCTACTATCACTTCTCTATGTACATCTCTTGCGGTTCTAGCTATCAGCGATCAAGCTAGCAGTCACAATTTTGGGAAGATGTTCAAACAATGACAAAAACTAGAAGTAGAAGAAAGCTAAAAGAACAAGCTGTAAGTGTCTAACAAGACCTATAAAATATGCAGATTTCTCAAGTCTGCTCGTTCAACGCCTGAAGCAGCTTATTGGGATGTCTCAAACTCAATATATGTCTCATATAGAAAATGTTGGTTTGGGAACCTGACGGGACAAAGTATTCCTGCCTGAAGGTAGAAAGTTGCTGTTCACACGCTCACTTGGTTGGGTACTCCAGCTCAGCGTCAGGGTCTCTGTTGAGTCTGAAGGCTTGTTCAGGTTCTCTGCCGGTGTCGTCGAAGGACATCTGAGGGATGTTTTTGTACCTGGGAGGGAAAAATAAGCAAACTTCATGCCCCATAGTGAGTGTACTTTAACTGCAGATCTGTTTCTTATTTTAATTGGACTTAAATCACTTAAAAACACTCCATTTTGTCTTATGTAGACAATGAATTTATTATAGGGCTATCAACGCCAACACAGTAACACTCGTGATTAACCTGAAAACCTTCATGTGATTATTTCTTTAATGCAAAATCATATTACCAAGTTTGACCCCAACTTCCTCCCATAATCCCAGTGTGGATTTTACCTGACTGTAATACTGAGACATACACCGGGGTGCTGAACAGCAAAATTTTGTTTCGAAAAGCTTCTTAAGTTTAGGTAAAACCCTCCATCACCACACATGCATTGGCTTCCCCCAAAATACAGAAAAGTACTACCATTTTAAACTTGATGGATCACAGCCTATAATTGTGGATAGCTTGATTATATTTTATTATCGATTGGTACCACTAATTTCTAAACAAAGATTTTGGGGTGTCCTGGTGCCCAAGGAGGGTTTAAGACGCTGACGATGTAATTGCAAAATCCCCGGTTCCAATCAGACTGGGTTTACTCTGTTGCCAATCGAAGTGGCAGTGACAGACACTCACAGTCGTATCTCAGCTGGATGAGAGTCGTCATTTTCTCCAGAGATGATGATGCCCTTAAGCTTTACGCTGCCTGTAAAACTGAAAGAGATGACACACAGTTCCTTCGCTGCTGTCTTTGTCAAAACAGGGAAAAAAAAAAAAAAAAAAAACACACACAGGACACTGCGAAAGACGAGAAGCAGAAGCTGTCACAAGAGACGTATGGTGAATTATTAAAAAACCAAAAATGAAATTAGAACTAATATGAAAAGAAAAAAAGCTTAAAGAGTACATCTCATTTCTTTGTGAAGAAGAACCTTGTTGGGAACTTAAATACCAACATATTGTACAATAATAAAAGTAAACTCAATCGGTCCTCCTGCACTGTGTCTTCGTTTGTGTCTACAAAAATACTTTTTTAATAGGTGTGCACACCGACAGGAAAAGCATAAAATGTGTTCATACATGAGAAATGAATAAAGTTCAGGCTAATTATGATGATTTTAGGACTTACGGGATGTTGAACAGCAGCTCTTCATCTGCGTCACTCTCGACATACTAAAAGAAAAAAGACAAACTGGTGTTAATCCTTTCTGAGTAAACGGAGTCTGTTATAACACAAACATTATTAAACTGTGATACTGGTTTAATTGGTTTTAATTAAGTTATCAATTAAGTAAATTAAGTACCAATACAACAATCTAAAATTACTCTACAAGTAAAAGTCCTTTTCTTGTCCTACTTAAATACAAGTATGATCAGCTGACTGTACTTAAAATATCAAAGTAAACATATTTTTCTGCTAAACAAAAGGCCGTTCTGAGTTATATATTATTATGTATTGGACAATATGTCAATACGGATGCATTATGGGATTTTACTGTTGTAGGTGGTCATGGTTGAGATAATTTAACTGCTTTATCTACAATAGGGTAGGTTAATCTATAACAATACATAATTTAAAAACATGTATGTTTTTTTATATCAAATTATAATCTGGAAAGTACTTAGTATCTCTCTGCTTAGTTTCTCCTTCCTGTCCAACATCGTTGCAGTTTGGATCAGGACTGAACCAGGACCAAGAGATTCAGCCTGGTCTCCTTCATGTTGTCCTATCTGTGTGACTAGTGTGCTTGGGATTTGCCTCTTGTTAGACTATGTAGGCTGGAAGTCGCTCGACCTCCTCCCGGATCCATAGTCCTCTTTTATGTTTACAATCTATATTTAATTTGGTCATCCTGATAGTAGATACTGTAATTTTACTATGTTGGTATATTCAACAAACAACATCAATTGCAAATCCATTCCTCCTGGGAGAGGGATCCCTCCTCCTCCTCCTCACAAATAGTGTGATATTAGGCTACAAATAATTTTTTTTTACTAGTTTTGACTACAGTTGTCTAATAAAATGTAGTACAGTAAAAAAAGTGCAATATATTTGCACTTGTAGTGGAGAGGTACCATAACTACATCAAGCATGTTTAAGTCAATGTACTTAGTTACTTAGACTCCAGGGTACATGGTTGTTTATTTATCAATCTACACAACAAGGTTGTATAATGAAAGTGTGTAGTCATTCATGGTACACACACACACATATTTTAACCTATAATTAAATGAATATTAAATGGTAAAATAAATTAAACTATCTGCAGCCTCATGTAATTTGTCAGCCTGAGTGATGTTAATAAAGCTTTGTTTATTTTAATAACTGCGCAGCCCCACAGCGAGACTGCGACAAAAGCCCGGAGTAACTTCTGTGTGACACACATAAAACATCCACCACAGGGGGACACAGGCGGGGTAACTGACCGGGGCAGAGGCTCTGTACGGCCGTTACCTGGTCCCGCTCGTTCCGCTTATCCCACGGTTTGAACACCAGCTTCCCGTCTCCGTCTCTGCTCTCGTTCAGGCACTGCAGCTTCTCCAGGTCGATCCGCAGGTACAGTCCGTACTCCAGGCCCCTCTCCGCGGGCTCATGCTCCCCCTCGCACCCGCCGCAGCCGTGCCCACCGTGACCGTGACCGTGCCCGGACATCGCGGAGCCAAACCCGTTGCCTTTCCGTTACAGACAGCGCACTCAGAGAAACAGAAAGCAGACGCCAGCAGCAGCTCGTCCAGCGTGCTTTTACTAAAGTGAAACGCGAACTTCCGAAGCGATTTATCGTCAAGGGAATTGACGTTACAATTGAGCTTCCGGTTCGAGAGTTCCAAAATAAAACAAACGGTTCGTCTAAATAAAATTTACATTAAATAAAGTTTTACTATTATGAGCTAACAGCTAACAATGACCCTGTTTGTCTGGATTTAGATAAAGACAAAGTGGCGTTAAAATGTGTGCACGTGTACATGTGGATATGTGTGTGCAGGGGACAGCATTAGCAGCAGGCAAATGCTGGTAAAATATTCAAGAGGCTGGTAGATTTACTTAGACAAACACCAGGATAATCTTTGAGTGGCTGGTAAAGTTTGAACATTCACTTAGACCTCAGGAGAAAAAAGTTATTTTTGCACCGTGTGTGTGTGTAAACATATATTTACACACAATCATTTGGTCTTCAAGTAGTTTTGGTATTTATTTAACATTGTTTGGATTGTATTGGATCCCAGCTGGTTATATTTGTATTTATTCATGTGCTTATTTATTTAAACAATATTGAACACTTTGGGTCTCCATAGGAATATGGTATAGGATGTAAATTATTTGAGTTATTTTGAGACAAATATGACATTAATGACAAGTTCAAGTCTCTTTGAAACGTTGAAAGCGAAGATATTTGAAAGCAGCTAAAAAATAAAACATAGCAGAGAAGCATTGAAAAGTCATCTCAAATTAAATGATTTGCCAACTGTAACACTTTAATTTACAGAATTAGCATCAAGATGTAATGTAAATGTGACACAATATTATAAACTCAAGGTTCACTCACTAGCTTTTTCTGACGGTTACAACTGTATCCCACGGCTTTCTTGAAAAAAAAAAAGAAAAAAGGAAAGTGATTACGAAATGCAGATTTTATTTTGTAGGGGAAGAGTGCCTGGCAGGAAATCATCCGCTGCAACATTGTAACCACTTTACCTGCATGAATAGCAAACACAAGTCATGTGCTCTCTGAGTGTCTCGCCTCGCTTACCCCCAAACGTCAATGCTGTCGCAAAACGTTTACAAGTATCCTAAAAACGTCAACATTAAAACAGCCCATGACGGTTCAGCTGTAAATAATATCAGTGCTTCATATTTAATAAGCTGTTGTGTGTTTTAAATGTAAATCTAGTCGGCTAAAATACTACTAGGTACAAACAAGTAACTACTAATAGAATAAAATACAATATTTATCTCTATCTAACAGTTGACTGGTAACCTCTAAAATAATGTCTACTTGTCCAACTTTGAACTACATGATATTACTGGGCAGCTTAACTTCTAATGATATAGCATAATTTATTAGTTATTTTAATAGTCCAAATCAGTAACTGGTAAGTTATCAAATAAATGTAGTGAAGTTAAAAAGTAGTATTTCCATCTTAAAAGTAGTAAAGTTTAAAGTAGCATTAAATGAAAATACACGAGTAAAGTACAAGTACCTCAAAACTGTATTTAGATACACTTGAGTAAACATACTTAGTTACATTTCACCACTAAGCAGTTTTACTATAGAGCTGTTTTTATCCTTCTCAGATTGTTTCATTTTAACTCATCGCATATTAAAGAAAGATTAAGTGAAAATTCAGAAAAGTCGACATAAATTTAACAAGTTTAACATTTGTTAATTTTAATACTTATCTCTTTAATCATGTTGTGACCCCTCAGATTTATATTTTTTTTATACAGAGGGTCCCGTCCACGAGTTTGGGGACAACAAAAAGCTGCGTGAACTTCAAACACTGAACTGAGTTTCCAGCTCTGCAGAGTTTTACCAGTTTACAGGATTTGCTTGAACAAATATGAACTTATCACCTATTAAATCATCATCAATGATAACACTGTAGAAGATGCTATCTATTTTGATCTTGGACGTTAATGATGAGATATTCGAAACAAAGGCAAAACACAAAATGTTGGTTTAATTGGGAATAAATGCCACATTACATGATTTAAGGAAAACATTATGTAAACAATATACTAATACTATTAAAATGCCTACAGGACAGACGGACACTTAAAAAATCCACTCACATTGTCTAGTGACAGCTTTTCCTTGTTACTCTACAGACTTATCCAACATTTTTCAGTGATTTAGAGAGAAAGTAAAGACTTCTCCTGTTGGCACACGTGTTTAATAGAAACAAAGAAAATGTTTGTGTTGCTTGATAAACACCACCACACAAAAACTTTTAAGGGCAAAAAGTCAATTTTAATAAAAATGACCATATAACATTTATTAAAATCTAATAAAATTACAATTTTTAATCTAATTCCATTCAGGCCCATGATGTGGGGTGCCAGGTCCCAGTGTTGAAAATAAATACATCTCCTCATTGTTGTAGACTAAAGCTGCAGGCATCCTATCAGTTTCCTTCCTTATTGTAATTTTCCTCCTCCCTCAAGATATTTGTCACAGTGAAGCAGATATAAACAGGGACACACACATCCAACAGCAGGAAAACATGATCTGAAGCCACAGGAGAGTTAAAATAAGGTGTGTTTGTGTACGCGTACTTCACCGATTTCATTTTTAGCTCTACACATTAAAAACGCACCAGGAAAACCTCTTTAAATATGCAAGTGTATTTGTTTTTTTTAAAAGCCAAGTCTTTAACCAGCCAGTTGACGCCTTGGTTGGCGTGCACCATGCATGCCATTAAAAGAGAAAACAAGAGTGTGTAAAAAGTTTTCCTCATGTAGTGTATCATTTGATCGTAATGGAAAGTGACAAACAACTATTCTTTAAATGAAATGAATGAGCATTCTTTCTGTCCTATGTCTTCTCTGTACGCTAATCATGTAGCTACAGCTAGCAGCTGGTTAGCTTAGCTTGGAAGACTGGAAACAGGTGGACACAGTTAGCATGGTAGCTAAATCCACCTACCAGCACATCTCAAGCTCACTCATTAACACAGTATGTCTAAATTAGTTTAATATGTATAAAACAGTGTACTTTTCTTTGTAAAAATGACAACTGAGCGTTTTACAGAGTCACTGTATGTGGCAAGCTATTTCTAGGTTGTGACTAGTAACTTCCTGGTGTCCACATTTTCTACAAGTTTTTTGTATCTTTTAAACGAACAAGATACAACGTGTTAATTAGTGAGCTTAAGAGGTGCTGGTAGGTAAAATTTTGTTACCTTTGGATAGAGCCAGGCTAGCTGTTTCCAATCATTTTGCTATGCTAAGCTAAGCATACAGACATGAGAGTGGTGTCAATCTTCGTATCAAACTCTTAGTAAGAAAGCCAATAAGCGTATTTTCCAAAAGGTAGAGCTATTCCTTTAAAAATGTCTGCTGCAAAACAAGGAAAAGTAACAGACTGTGTGTTTGTTTGTGTGTGTGTGTCTTAATGTTCTTAACAAAGACGTCACACTCACCATCCTTTATGATTTAAATACTTATTTTAAGACCCCCAAAACAGGTGCCACCACTTAAATAAAATAAAACCATTTTTCCACCAATACTTAGTTCAGTTCATATGATGTTTGGTGGGTAAAGATGAAGGTGTATGTGTGCGTGTGTGTGTGTGTGCGTGTGCGTGTGTGTGGGTGTGTGTGTATGTGTGTGCGTACAGGGATAAGGGATCTCCAGTAAAATTTTCTTAAACTTAAATTAAAAATACAGCTGGAATTCATAAAATACATTCAAGTCTCTTTCACACTATCGGCGGGAGAATCTGTTCTTGAAAGCTTTGATAGTTTTGGCCATCATGGGGGCGATTTCTGCAAGAGGAGGCAGACGAGAACAAATGGTTTGTGAGATTTAAAAGAACTCAAACTTAATTTGATCCTAAACTCTTAACACACACTTACTTTTGACCTGTGGCTTGTCCCGGGCAGCATGCGCTGCTCCTCCCCCTCCCCCTCCCCCTCCCCCTCCTCCTCCTGGTGCCGAGGAGCGAGACGAGCCGGGAGACGGGTCATGTTGGGAAGAAAAGGTGTGGCTCGATTCACCAGAATAGTCTGTGGTAGCTGGCCTTATTCTAAAAGACACAAGAAGAAATAATGATTGATAATAATGATGTTTGGATAGAACCTTTCATACAAGAAATGCAGCTCAAAGTGCTTTAAACAAAAGGAATTACTCCCACAAAGTGCTTCACTTAAAAAAAGGGCATTTAATGAACATTAAAACAGGGATAGATAAAAGGTCAGTGAATGTGCTGAATCTAAAATGAATCAAAGTGCCATAAAGTCCTAAACTAAAACAAAAGTGCAGAAAATAAGTGATGGTTTATTTATCATTTAGTCTGTAAAATGTCCAAAAATAATTTAAAAAAATTAACCCTTTACACTTTTCCAGAGGGTAAAAGTGACATCTTTGAATTGCATACTTGAAAATTTTGGAGCTACACAGAAAACACCCAAAGATATTCAATTATCAGTGTACCAACAATTCTATACATACTTTTGAAGAAAAGCATTTTTCTTGCAATGTTGATTCAAATGTTTTAAATGCATGGCTAATTAATTAGGTATTATATAAGTTTAAAAATGTTGTCTTTATAAATTATGCTGTTTAAAGATTTAAATATGCACATATATTTGTCCAGAATGAGTTTGTGTGTCTTGATGAATGTCTGTCTTGAGATCCACGTGTCACCAATATTGGTGAAATTGGAGAATACAAAATTAGAAAAATCCATAGGTTTACTTTTTAAAGCATATCAATATGCATGTAAATAGTAAGTAAATCTGGTAGATAGAACAGGACACACACTGAAAATACAAGTTAGTATAAAGAACAACTATTTAATTATCACACAAATTAACTCCTGTGATGATGAACTGTAAATACAATCTCGTACATCAATAAAACTCAACATTTATGAAAAGTGATGTGCCTTTACTTCAACTTCAAGTCATAATCCTAAATGTCAGAAATTTGACTATGTGCTAGATATGATACTGACTTGATGGGAGCTGCAGCGGTGGTAGAGGCGGCTGTGGACAAACCACTACTGGTGCCAAACCTCTCCTGCCGACGGCGAACGTCACGCGGCGGCTTGGCGACAGAATTCACAAACGCCATCTTAACCTGCCGACCTGCCAGGACAAACAGAGACACTTAAATGTAAATCTAGTCGCTAAAATAAAATAAAATTAACTGACTTAAACATTCAACATCTGTGACGTTTTTGTAGAAATGAATGTCCATTTTAGCCACTTTCTTGTGCTGATTAATATAAAACAAAAACCCACAATGGAGGAAGTATTCAGATCCTTCACTTAATTAAATAACTGATACCACGCTGTAAAAATACTGCACAGGTAAAAATTACATACAATTAAATTTAAAATGTTTCCTAAGTAAAAGCATTTAAGTATAATCAGGAAAATGAAGTTAAAGTATTAAAAGTACTGGCTGCTGTGCTATTACACATTATATCATTAGATTATTATTGATTTCATTATTTAATTAAAGTAAAAGCAGGATTTAAGGAGAAGCTTCATTTAACAGTAAGAAAACATTTGGTTTTAGCCACAGAAACCAATCATATCCAAAATATGATCAAGAATCAAATCATTTATCTATATAGCTTTGGAGGTGGAGCTTATTTTAACAATTTGGTGTGAGACTACAACTTAATAATTATTTACGTTATGGAGTAATCTCCACACCTCAACGTTATTTAAAATAAATTGAAATAAATAAAAAGAAAAGCAACGAGTCTTCATATTTGTGAAGCTGGAACCAGTTAACCAATTTTCTGTAAATCAAGAAATAATTGTTTTAGTTGGAATTATAGAAACTGTTGCGTAGTTTAATTTATAACAAAATATCATATTTTATAAGATCTTCAGATGTTTTGTGTGTAAAAATCTTGAATTGTAAAGTAACTAAAGCTGTCAGATACACATAGAGAAGTAAAAAGTAGAATATTTCCCTTAAATGTAGTGGTGAAAGTGAAAGTGGCAATAAAAAGAGACAAATTCAAGTACCTCAAATTTGTAATTCAGCACAGCACTTCAGTAATTGTACTCAGTTCATCACAAAGTAGTTATTTCAGATCAAAAACTCAGTTAAAGTTTCTCCAACCTTTCGGCTTGTTGGCGTGAGCGGAGGAGATGTTCTGGGTGAGCAGCCTCAGTCGCTCCTCGCGCTCGTCGTGCAGCCTCAGATACATCTCCCTCCACGACTCGTACTCCTGAGGAGTCTCCCGCTTAAAGTCCCGTTTACAGTGACGCATCCACAGCTCGTCAGATTCCTCAGTAAACCACTGGAAGGATAAAAATCAGTCTCAAAAAGGTTTTCCTACACATTTTGCTTGTTGTTTTTTTCTCCAGATTTTTGTTGAAGTACAATCTAAATGTATACATCTACTGTGGGCCAAAAGTATTTCTCACAACAAAAGGACTTTACAGAAAAGAGTGGATGGGAATGGACAGGTGAAGACCGGGTGTTTCTACCAGACCAATTTTCACTTTTTGTCTAGTTGGGGACAATAAGAAACTGTAATGGATCCCATCCCTTTTCCTCCATTTTTATTTATAGCTTTTATTTTATTTCCATTTTACTTGGCCAACTGTATACTGTGAAAGAGGTGGGAATTTTATATAACAGGTATATAGAGCAAGAGGTAGACTTACATTTGGAGTTGTGTGTGTTTGTTTATTAAGGACATGTATCCTTGTTTTCCCTGTGAAAATTAAAAGTAACCCTTACAGTACCCATACAGTAAACCCAACCTAATCCCTGGTTCCAGGTCTTTTCTGTTGTTTTATTCTATTTATTTTGCTTTTTGATCAACTCAAAGCAATAAAATAGTTGTAAAAAAGTACAGAATGGATGGGAAACACAGAGGAGGACATTTAGGACAAGATTTAGGCCCCACATTAATCAGGAAAATATACTTAATACATACATACATATTTAAATGTACACTTAAGCGTTTGGGTCATTAAATTGTTGGGGGTATATTTTAATGTCATGTGAAACTATCGTTGTTCTTTTATCTTTACTAAGCATTTGTTAATAATAACAGCAGAACTTTTTCCAAGGTGCACGGAGTTGGGCAAAACTCCAGCCACATTTGTACTATAAACATATAAACTTCATTGTGAGACCAAAGCGTTTCGAGGTTAGGGTTGTGGGCGAGGGAATGCATTTAGGGTCCTCACAAGGACACAAAGACAAATGTGTGTGTTTGTTACCTGGTTGCTCTGCTCGATGCGATACAGCTGCTCAGGTGTACATCGCTCCAGCACCGGTTCCAGGATCTCAAACGGCACTCCTCCGACCTCAGCGATGGCTGCAAGAGCACAGAATCTTTTACCCACCATGGGTAAAAAGTGGCCACAGAGCAGCACATATTGAGGCTTTCTGTTTATCTTTTATCCTTTGTGGTGAGGCCCGCCCTCTTGTTCTCCACTTGACAAATTCCCCTGTGTAGTATTTCATGTAGAACAAATTCAATGCAGAATAAAAAAAATAAAGTTATGAATAAATATAGTGCTTATTTTATGGTATACACGCTTCTGACAACACTGAAGGCATCTGCTGAGACTCAGTGACCGTTATGTAGATTTGTTGTTCATGATTTAGAGAATATACAGCCTCTCACAATCAATGTTGTTCTGCAGCACCCGTATGCACTGCTCGTACAAAGTCATCATCCTGGGCAAGTACGCGGTCTTGGATCCTGAGTAGACCACCATCTTGGAGTTGAATCGCTTCCCTGTGAACCCGGCGTCCTCCTCGTCGTTACAGGCAGGAACTGAAAGTAAAGAAGGGAGAAAGTAAGAAGGAAATCAGACACAGCAGGGCTGGAGGGAGTGTAACAGATATAGATATGCTGACAGTGACAATTTTCAACTACAGCTTGATAAGAATTGACATGTACGCCAAAATGTACTTGTTCGTACATGTCACATTATGCTGAACTCAGTCTGAGTGATCAAGAAGCTTCTCGGCCTCTGAGGATTACAGCTGTATAGTAGTTACGTGTTGAGAGTACAAAAAAAACAACACAGTGCAACAGGGGTTATCTCAATTTCTATCTCAATGACGACTCCACAGTTTGGGATAGAGCCGGAGTTGATGGAGTGTGTTGGAAGTCATCCTATATCTAATACTGGAGGTAGAATGAGAAGTATTAAGAGTAAATCTGACCTTAGAATAGTATTGAGGGAATCTGAATAAATGTTTTTCTGATCTGAAGTAGTATTTGTCAGCTCAGCAGTTATCCTAAATCTAGCATTGCAGGTTTAAACAGACCTTAGGGTAGTATTAAGGGTTTCAACATAATTATATAGCAGTCTTAAGGGTTTTGGTCTCATGTGGCATGAGGCATTATCAGAGTTTTGGACTGCAATGCAAAGTTTTGCTATGATACTTGTTTCTTTATTAATCTCGCCATTTTCTTGTTGCTATAAAACAATCAAACAATGATCCCCTTGTCATAGATTTATGTGTTTAGTAGTCTCATGTCCAAGGAAATTCAACACGATAGGTGAGTAAACATCAACTTAAAGTCCAGCTGTTATGGATACCATAAGACCAAATAAAAGTGAGTTATTTTCTTAGTTTTTAAATATGTGATAACTTAATGAATTATTAGCCTAGGTGATGCATTACCTTTCCGTCTCTGAGGGGACAGCGGTGTGACGTCGATGGAGGGCAGGGGTCTGTAATTGGGTTGAATCGCAGGCAGAGGGATTTCAGGGAGAGTCGTAATGGCCTCAACCACCTGCAAACAACATTACATTAACATCAACAAGCAGGATCTGCAGACAACGTTTCAAACTAAGAGTTTCAGATAATAAATGAAGGCAGATAAAACCTCAACTGGCAGAGAAGAGCAGTCAAATTACACAATAAGCTAAATAGTATGTCATTTTGGTAAAAAGGCTTATTTACTATCTAGCTGAAAGTTAGAGAAAGAGGTCGATATAGTGTGTTGCTAGTTGGATATTGTTTTACCTTTGGACAGAGCTTCTTCAATGTGAGGATTTGATGCTTGTCTTTGTCATGTGTGCGATAGTAAACTTTGTTTTAGGTTTGGACTGTCGGTTGAACAAAACAAGCAATCTGAGTGGGAAGTTATAACGGCCTTTTTTCACAATTATCTGACATTTTATAGACCAAACAATTTATCAGTTAAATGATAAAATGAACGGCAGATTAATCAATAATCATTTTTATTGAGGCTTGAGCAAACTCTATCCACTAATGAAGACTGTGAGATATGGTTAAAAACTTCAGAAAAAGCTCGTAAATGGACCTCGAGTGATGATCATTTTGTCAAACTACTATCTAGAATTAACTTTCGCACTTAAAAAAAAAATCTGTATAGTCTCAATTAAATACCAATTAATAGCCACATAACTGAAATTAAAAAGGATACTAATAATGTAAAATGATCTTCTTGTTGTCTCTGCTGCTGTTCTTACCCTCTTGCGTTTTTCTGGTGTCGCTGCTGCTGAACTGGAGCCTGAATGTGGCCTCTTGGTACTCTGAGTGCCGTTAGCCTTGCTCGCTTTAGAGGAAGAGGAGGGCGTGGGCGGCGGAGGAGGGGTGCGTGTACGGTGGGAGGACGACGTGGAGTGAGACGGTCGACTGTGTGATGAGGACGATGATGATGATGGCTTCTTCTTCTTCTTGACAGCCGGGGCGTCATATGTTAGAAAAGACTCAAAGGACATAGTGGGGGTCTCGAAGGCTTCCTCCTCCTCTTTGGGTGGAGAGTCCTTCGGCGCCCGCGGTCGCCCTGGAAATACAGAGGCAAATGGTTAAAATTAGAGGGTGCATTGAAATCAGGAGCCTGGTCTGATTTAACCTTATATTTATGCTTTCTGAATAAAGTCAATACGATTTCTACTAACAGAAGCTGAAAGATAAAAATCCTGCTTAACTTGTTGGTTGCTTCAAACCATGGCTGCGATTAATCTGCTAATTATCTTTCAAAATAATTCTTTGATCCATAAAATGTAGAAATGTAAAAAATTCAATATTAAAAAATGCCCATTGCAATGTCACAGAGCCCAGTGTGATGTCTTCAAACCGTCTGACAAATGATCCAAACCCACAGATATCCAGACAAAGAAAAGCAGAAAATCTCAACATTTAAAGAAGCTGGAGCCAGAAAATGTTTTAGCTTGAAAAATTTATTTAATTCTTAAAATGCTAAATTAGTTTTTAAATGTTCTGACATACATACACTGTTTGCAGTGGAGGAATGTAACTAAGTACACTTTAGTACAATTTTGAGGTACTTACTCTAGTTAATGCCACTTTTTTTTTCTACTCCACTGCATTTACTTGATGGCTTTAGTTACTTTGCAGATTTAGATTATTAATAATCAATATAAATCAACTAATAATATGTTAGAGAATACATTAATTCATTTAACTATAATCCAGTTATATTATTTGAAAATGGCTTTCTGCATAACCAGTACTGTGTATTTTGATGCTTAGACTTTAAATGCAGGAAATTTACTTGTAATAGAGTACTATTATACTATATTGTACTTTTACTCAAGTAACAGATCTGAATATGTCTTCCTCCACTGACTGATTGTGATGCTTTATATCAATCCACGGTATTAAAACATATTTTGTCAATGTGTCTAGCTTTCTAACAAGAGAGTAATCACTCATTGTTGTTTAGGAAACTTTGCATTTTGCTTATAAATTAATGGTTTGAAGTTTCCTGTCAGCAGAATTACTAACAACCAGGTTATATCTGCTCAAAATGCCGGTACAGGATGTTGCTCTTGGTTGTGGCCACATTTCATGAGCTGATAAAACAGTGACATATTTTCTGATGCACAGAGCTTCACAACTATTCATCTGTTAAACACATAATCTTTATTTTGACTTCTATAATGATTAGAAGTTTAAATAAAGTAAGCTTTGTATTTGATCTGGAGCATGAAAACAAGTGCAAAGTGTTCACTGATAAACTATCACAGGCTCTTATTGCAAGCAAGAGGTAATTAACTAATCTCTGCTTTCCAAACATAAACACACTGGGAAGTGTAATGTAACTGCAATTAGTAAGAAATCCTTTCTATTTTGTTGTGGGCTGTGGTATAGTTATCATACGGTTTTATTTATAATTAAGACACATCTCGTGGCCTATTCCTCATGAGACAAAACATCAGCTGAACAGGATGAAATTCTGGTTTAAATTAAATTAAATTTGAGGCTATTGAAGATACTTTTTGTGCTTTTTGTTGAGTAAAAGATGAACGTGAAGGCAGTTTTTTGGATGGATATTTAACAGTCTTGAGATCAATAATCATTAGTGTCTTACTCATGTATGAGTATGCAGCTCTTCTCGTGCAGTTTTAACCCCAGTTGTTCCCTTTTTTGTTTTCCTCTTAAGTAGCTATAATAATCTTATTCCACGCTATATGAAACTGAAAAGATTTGATGGGCAACAGTGTACTAAACATGAGCAAGTTTGAAATTGTCATTAAATTGGAGCCAGTGAGAACATGAGATTGTTTTAAAGACAGAAGACCATGGAGGGATCACTGGACAGGGCTCAGTAGGCCCCAAAGCAGTAGCATCTGTTTGAAGCGTGTCATAGGGATCAGGCAAAATTGGGGACGTCCCAAACGGGGTTTTTTTGCTCTTAATGCTTTAAAGGGGAACTCCACTGATTTTACACATCAAAGTCTGTTTACAGGTCTTGGGGAGTTTCACTATATACGTTAAAAAGGATGGGTGGTGATGGCGCAATGGATAAGATGCCTTTGGTGTGAGAGACCCAGGTTCAACTCCCCACTCTGACCCATCTAGCAAGACACTTAACCCCTAGTTGCTCCAGAGGCATGCGACCTCTGACATGTATAGCAATTGTAAGTCGCTTTGAAAAAGCATCAGCTAAATGAATAAATGTAAATGTAAAAAGTTGTATAAAGTCTTTTTAGCCTCCTATTAGAGCTGAGTGAAATCTGATAAAGTCACTTGATTCAGCGCCTGTTCTGCCTGCTGCAGGTATCTGCCTTTATAGAGTCCAATCTAATATTTATTCTAAGTCTACTAGAAATAAATAAAGGGGCCCTTTACTGTATGTCTCTGTGCTCAGAACTGAAGAAGCCCCTTCGGATGAAAGGTGAAACGTCTTCAAGTATCTTCAACCAGTCCAGTTGCTCTTGATTTTAACCTTCCTTGGATAACTATGACCTGAATGATTGAGAATCTTCACAGATGTCTGTGCTCAGGAGTTCGTTGTCTCATAATTTGTCCATGCAGAGGACAAACAGGAAAATAACTCCAAACACTTCATATCAAGGTATCTCTGGCAAAATGTCACAGTGAACCTCTTCCATCAAACACAAACTGTACGGACACAAACATACTCACCGTCATCTCCTCCTTTCTTCTTCTCCTCCCTCTTACTCTCATGTGTGGTAGACTTCCTGCTGTGCTTTGCAGCCTTTTGTGCTGGATTCTCTCTGTCCGCGCTGCGTTTCTTTCCTTCACCACCGCCTCCTCCTCCTCGATCGCTACTCATCTGTGCATGGCGCTGCCGCCGTTCCTCGTCTCTGTCCCTGTTTCTGTCAACGTGGTCATGGTTTTTGTTGGGTTCTTTGTTTGGTTTGGCGTGGCGGATCTCTTTGCGAGGAGGCGGGGGACTAGGCTCAGGCTCAGGCTCAGGGCTCTCGTACTCGTCCAACTCGTAGCCTCGACGCTGTGGAGGGGTATACTGCACGTGTTGAGGAGGTGAGGGCGAGTAGTTCGTGTGATAGCCTCTCTCCTCCTCCTCTTCCTCCTCCTCTTCCTCTTCCATGTAGGAGGGCTCCTCCTCAGGGGAGGGCTCCCGGGTGCGTCTGTGTCCTCCTCCAACACCTGCCTCTTGGCCCCGAGAGTGTGTGTGTGCCCGCGATGCCTCTTTGACGTGGCTGTTGGTGGGTCTGAGACAGAAAGATCGACAGTGGTGAAAAACACACGAGTCACAGACTTGTTTGACTCAACACAAACTCGATGTATTATTAAAAGGTCTGGGAGATAAATATTATTGCATATTGTCTTTCAGTGAGATTATACCGTGGGGATGTGATCGTATCATGTTATTGTCTAGAAAAATTCTCTTGTACGAATTAATCATTCAGGTTCAGTGTGTAGGTTTTAGAGGCATCTAGTGGCAAGAGTTGCGAATTGCAACCAATGGCTCACTGAGCGCTCCCCTCCCCCTTTCCAAGCGTGTAGGAGAAGCTACGGTGGGCGACACACACTGTCGGCTCTTTTGCTAAATAATATGTGCAGTCCTCCATTTGTCCAAATTTCACTTCTCTTCTTACTTCTAATAAACAGACGACTACTACGCCTACAGCTGCTGCTGCTGCTGCTGCTACTACTACTACTACTACTTCTTCTTCTTCGTATGTATTCAACGTAGTGACGAAACTCGGTCTGTAAAGCAGTTTGTCCGTTTGGGCTACTGTAGAAACATGGCGCTGCAACATGGCGACTTCCATGTAGAGGACCCAGATAGAAATGTCTCATTCTAAGGTAATAAACACATAACAGTTCATTATATAAGGTCTTTATTCACCACTAAAAACATAGTTATGTATATTATATTGCATTTCTTTCAGCAGATCCTCCAGACAATTACAAACTGAACCTTTAAAGCAACTTGTAATTAAAAACTAACAATGAGTTTTAGAACTTTTACATTGGTTTTCTTTGATGTACTACATAACAGTGGGACTGGGCTTAGTGTATTGATCTTATTAATACTGTCAGATAGCTTTTATCCATTTCGCCCAGCTCTAAATGACACTGCACTTCCACCACATGTATCTGATGACTATAATTATTTTTTTTTAAATTAGTTGCAAAACATGCAATAAATTACACAAAGCCCTAGGAGTTTATACATTTATACACCTCTTACAGGTTAACATATCAGTAACTCATTAACAGTCTGAAAATTGTGAAATGTGCAGAAGCTGTGTGAGCATTTGTATGCAAAAATAAGTCATGTTGAATGATGTGAACTACTGTGAATAACGACTCTGGTTCTTTTGTGTAGATAAAGAATTCGAGTACACATTTATCTCTTTCCTCCAGAGTTCTCACTTATTTAAACTAGAACAATGGTTGGCAACCTGGGGCTCGTCAGATAAATCAGGTGGCGAGACAAAAACCAGCATCAGAGAGCAGAAAAACACATTTAAGCTACAAAATTACTTTCCCCCAGACATTACTGTAATTTGTTCTCTCCTACCAGATCATTTTATTTTACCTCTATAGGCCTCTTTAGAAAAATTCAATAGGCAAAAGCTACTGGTCTGGGAGACAATTTGTGTTTAAAATGTATTTCTGAGTTGGAGCTATTTTACATACAACATTTTACATTTATTATTTTACAAGCTGCATCTAAAACCAAAATACACCCAGTAGCATATGACTCAGCTTCAGAGTGAATATCTCCAAAATTGGAGTTTATTTTTTTAGAAAGAATAGATATTTATTTCCACAAGTGTTTTGAGGGAGCAACCAACTTCAGTAACTCTGAGTTTAAGACCCCTGCAACAAGATACAGGCAAACGGTGATGATGTGTTACAAGCAGACTTTGTTTTATTTGAAGGGGCTCCTGATTTAAAGGTTGAACATGCAGTATACAGTGACATGAGAACTAAAACGTGGACTCTCCCCCACCCTTGCTACTGTTTGCATGTCCCGGCAAAGGTACACAGGACATACCTGTCTGCAGATTGTGGAACCAGTTTCTTCCATTTGGCTACAAGGTTTTTTGCCACCTCTCCAGCTACTTGATGTTTCCTAAAAGAATTCACAGTCTTCCCCACTCCAGTTTCCTGCGAGAGAACAACACAAAGTAAAATCACGGATCACTGTCTCTATTATTTAAGCACAGATTTAATTATTAAACTCAACAACACAAGGCAAAGTTAATTGAATATTTTATGTTTTAGCCTCAACGTCTCGCTGCAGGTAGACGTAACATGATATTTTGTCTGTATATGTTCAGCAGTTTTACAGCTGTTATCATATCTTTGGCTGCTTCAGCTGAGTGGTCTGATTGGCCAGAAACATGCTGAGGCTGTGGTGATAATTGGCATAAATTGCACCTGACAAGAAAGAAGAAAATGGCCGAGCAAGGAATTTTGTGTTCCCAGAAAAGCTCTGAGAAACTTCTGGGAACTGTACACTACAACCACTGTCACATATCGCTTTTCTTCCAGCGTTGTCAGGGATTAAATGCCTTGTTAAAGAGCACCTTCCCCAACTGGTTATCTACTGATCTTGTCTGCTTGACTCTGGAGTCCAAGCAGGCCACAGGAGCTTGCACAATTTCACTGCAGCAGCACTTTTTATTTGGAAATCAAGAGGATGTGAACTAATCCTTACCACCAGTATGTCCACAGTCATGGGGAGTTCCCCCAGTCTTTTGAAAGTCTTTAGTAGCTGAAAAATAGAGAAAACTTTAGTAATATAATAATCTAAAAGAAGACTTGTATCAAAGTTGACTGATTTCAGTATCAATAACGAGGTCTACACAAGTATAACTTATTATTACTTATTACTAATCAGTAATAACCGATAAGTAGTACTATTACATTGCAATACATTAAATTAAGTATGAATCCTCATTTAAATCTAAATATATTTTGTTAGTATTAGCCGCGATAGACTGTAAATCACAATTTCTCTGATTATCACAGTTAAGACAATACAACCATATGTACTGTAAGGGAATCCAAATTAGTCAACAGATGGTTTAGTATTAATGTGATGAAATACACTGATTGATGAACAGTTGTGTGTGAAAGTTGATTCTCGACCCCGATACTTTATTTCGACAAAAAAAACTGCATCTCCTGGTCTTCTTCAGCAGAATGCGTTTGCTCAGTGTTCGTGATTACAGGTAGTATGTAGGAGTATACATACATATACACACCTGTTATAACACGATCGATAGTGGTTCAATGCTTAGATCATATGACGACAACTGAGCCATCTCCATCACTACCAAGCAAACTCTATGTAGTTAATAAGAGCAAGAGATTGGGTTGAAAGCAATGGAAAAAGTGAACAAGTGGACCTTGAGTTAAGATTAAACTTCAAAACATCAATAGATTTTCCATAAAATGTATTTTATCAGATACATTGCACGTCACTACTGAAAAAAAAACACCTCATGATGGCAGTTAATATGTTTAAAATTAAGTAATTAATCTCAAGCATATTCACACATCTGTATGCATGAACAACTGTTTTTTTTAAAACAGGTTTCAATTTCAACCAGTCTTTTCCCTTCTGGATGATTTACATGAAAACACTCAGATGTGGATCACATCTGCACACATTATTTTGGTTTTTAAAACTGTCTGACTTAATTAATATCCACCTGGTTTAAACCTGCTCTGTCCCTGACCTTTTAATTGAAACAGTTAAAATTCACAGTGAATCACATTGTGGAGAACAGCAACAGCCCTGCGTCATGGAGACTGGATGATGTCGTGGCCTAACGGGGCAGGGCTGTAGTAAAATCACTGAGCTGCGATTTCACTAATTTTGTACTTAAACGATTACTTCTTTATTCCGGAGCAGAGCTTCTATTAAACAAACCTATCACACAGATCGCAAGCTTTGTTTTGGCAGGCACACACAGGTTACATATCAGAAGACAAAGTAAACAAAGGGGAGGTCGGACATTGTCAATTATCATTTATCCGCTTTTAATTTTCAACATTTTGAAAGCAGACCCCAGTGCAGACACGTGCACCTGTCGTGTAAACTGAAACTAGATGAATCCGTTGAACATTAGAGGCCTGAAGTCGCTGAAACTGTCATTACTTTCCGCACCAACGGTAGTTAGCTTGATGGCTAACGGCTACTCTGGCCCCGAGTTTCGTTTTATGATCAATTATGTTGCTGTTATTGTTGTTGTTATTGTTTTAATAAACGATTAAGTATCTATACAGCCGATAAGCTTAGTATTAGCTAAAAACATGGTTAAAGAAGTAGCGTTACGTTATAACTAGTTAAAACCCCTTAATTATCGTGACGTTCCACATGACGCCTTCACATGCTGTCGGAAATGCTGAAACTGCAAGGAGAGCATTAATGATTCATATTTAAATCTATTAATCAAAGTATGGTCTTGATATAGATCATGTACACATGGAGATGTGTACAGGACCAAAAGTAAGATATGCATATCTATCTGGTGGTTTAGTGACGATTAACTAAGATTTAATGTATCTGCATTCTGCAAAACAGATACTGAAACCACAGAGCTTGTTTTTCTTCTTCTTGTCAATCTCAGCTATTTTGGAAGAAAACGGAAGAATGGTTTCAGATAATATGCAGTAAACTACAATCACATGTATGTAAAGTAATGGTAATGAAGGAGAAACTGGAACATTTACTGATATTCACAAATTCTTGTAGTTGCAGATGATCACAAAGCAAAATCAACAAAAACTCAAGTCCCTGACTGTCCCTGAAACTTTTATTAAAACTTACACATTATATTTATGTATTCTATTCCTACTTATATTTTTGAGTGTTTATGTTTTTCTACTCAGACATATCCCAAAGATCTATAATACTGCAGTTGTATTGTCTTGTTTTTGTAGATTTACCGTTCAGAAATTTGATGATGGGATTATCGCATATAAGACTGATAAGTCCAATTTGTATTTCAACACAGTCATGATTTTCATCCTGTGTCGTTTGTTGTAAGACATTGCTACAAGATGATTTTCTTCTTCTGATTTATAAATTAAACAACCACTACAGAAAACTATTATTGTTTGCTTTGGTACTTTAGTATTACCATTTCCCTCTATTTTATACTTCTACTCCACTACACTTATATGATGACTTTAGTTAATAGTTACTTTTCAGATTTAACTTAATATTAAAAAATATAAAATCAACAATTAAAGAATTATGATGTATCATAGGTTGAGATAAGACTTTATTTATCCCAGGGGAGAAAGTCATAAGCTACAGAGCAATATATAAAATAATTAAAATTAACTCTTAATTATTTACCAGTTGTAACACTAATGAGTATTTTCACTTTTGGTACTTTAAGTTAGGGCTGGGCAATAAAACAATAACGATAATTATATGATATTCCTCAATAACAATAGTGTTCAATAAATGCTTGATTTAAATCATTTGAACCACAAACAAATTAGCACCTAATCTTTCTATTAGGATGTTTATTTTGTTGAGGAAAAGGGAGCGAAAACGTATTTTTCTTAATTTAACTCATGCATATTTGTTGAAAATAGATTTTGTTATAATTGTTGTGAATGTTCTGCCTCAGATTTTTTAAGTGACTCACTGTTTGGCATCAAGTGTTTGTTCTGACCATAAAGAATAAATAATAAACCATCTGGTTTCTACAACCAAAATCCACCTTTAAACTTGAAAGGAATAATGATTTGACATTTACCATGATAATTATCAATATCGAATGATATGACATTTTTAATCGTGATAATATTTTTGGTCATATAACCTAGCCTTACATTAAGTATATTTTGATGTCACTTCGACTTTTAATTTTGAATGCAGGACTTTTACTTTTAGCAGTATTTTTACACTGTGGTATTGCTACTTTTACTTAAGTAAGATATCTTAATACGTTTTCCACCACTGCTGCTGTTACAGTACTACTATTATATGTATTTCCGACCCTACAAAGCAAATTAATGCTCTTTTACGTTGGAGATTATCAGAAGACGGAGGCCTTCAAACGCAGCATTTAAAAAACGGTTGCGACTTTAGGAGCACTGTCGTGTTCGCGTCTTCGTTTCGGATATCGCACAAAAACCGTCGCGTTTAGGGAGACGGTCGGGGCTAAACCCTCAAGCCTGTCTCTCTCCACCTGTCCAGTGGTTACCTTTCGAGGCTCTGGATTCTCCAGGAGCCGAGACTGAAGTCTATCCACTGTTTCCAGCAGTTCCTCCGCCATGTTTACTGCTGGTACCCTGTCGCCCGGAAGCTACTTCATCCTGACTGAACAGAGAAAGTAAAAAAAATAAAGGAGGTTCCGCTAGTTTGGTGACCGCTGCTGCGAGGTAGACGCGTTTTACAGCCGTTTAAAAATAATATCAGTAAGCTTAAAAATAAACCGGCATCAATACGTACATTAAGAATTAAATTATTCAGAGTCGTGGAGAGAAACCTTAAGTTTGCACATTAAGAGAACTGTCATGAAAGACGGAACTACGTCACAGCACAGCTGACGGAGCACGTTCGGAACACCTGTTAGTTTGACGTCAATGACGCTAACGTAGCTTGTATTATAATTTACTGTGGAACCTGGTCACGTTGTATCTGCCTACATGAAAATGCAGTATTCCTACAGACCTACTGGTAAGTTAAATAGTGTTTGAGGCAGCGGTGACATGGTATTTGGTTGTGGTGAATTATTTTATAGAAACTTTATAAATATATCCTATGGTAAAATACCATACAATTTCTGCATATTAGTAACTCATGTTCCTGTGGTACGTCTGTGGTATTGTACTATACATTCTGTGGTACTATATCACATATTCTGTTACTGTACCATATATTCTGTGTTACTATATCATATATTCTGTGGTATTGTACCATACATTCTGTGGTACTATATCACATATTCTGTTACTATAGCTTATATTCTTTGGTATTGTACATATATTCTGTGTTACTATATCATACATTCTGTGGTATTGTATTATACATTCTTTGGTATTTTACATACATTCTGTGTTACCATATATTTTGTGGTACTTCTATACCACATATTCTGTGTTCATATATTCTGTGGTACTATACCATATATTCTGTGGTATTGTACCATATATTTTATGTTACTATGCCATATATTCTGTAAGGCCGTACACCATATGAATATACCACTGGAACATTTTCCAGTACCACAGTAAATAATTGTAAGGGAAATAGGCTATATGTTTGTTTTTGTATAAAAATATTTAGGCCTATTTGAACTAAAAAAAAAAGATTAAAAAAAAAGATTTGTTTGTGGATCTGAAAAAACATGCTGAATTCAGGTGACAAGTAATGATCATATTAATTACCAATAAATCTGTTGAGATTAGTTTGTCTGTAAAATTTTCATCACAATTTCTCAATGTGACGTCCTCAGATTGCTGATTTGGCTGACCAAGAGTCCAAATACTCAATTTACAATAATATAAAAAATATAAAGTAGCCTAGTATATCCTCAAATTTGTGAAGCTTTAACCAACAAATGTCAGTTTTAGCTTGATAAATGACGCCTGGCTGAATAATCAGTTGACTAGACTGATCATTTCAGCACAAGTTAGAAGATAGAAGATTTTGCTTCTACTCCATCTCAGAGGCAAATATTGTACTTTTTACTCCACAGCATTTGACAGCTTTAGTTACCAGTTACAGAGAACAATTTTATATTTATACCCTTCCTGTCCAGTGAAGTGAATGTTGCTCGTAAAGTGTTTCTTTATGGGTTGAGAAAATTCTCCTACTTCTTACGCTAAATAAATTTAAACCCAGATTGTATCAGCTGGAAAATTAGTTGAAAACTGGGCTGTTTTTCGGAGCTCATGAAAAGCTGAGTTTATAATACCAAACATAAAATATAATGCATTTCTGTAGATTAAACTACCAAACAAATTGATGTTAACTTTAAACAGCAGTAAGATGCAATGTACACATTCATGCAGATAATATATGATATTATGACACTCTGAAAGTGACCATTAAGCCCAGCGAGTACTTTTACGTATGATCCTTTAAATACATTTAGCTTATGTTAGGCCTACTTGTATTCTTTTACGTACAGGTCTGAATGGTTTTACTTTTACTTGTGGAGTATTTTCACAGTTTAGTGTTAGTACTTTTACTTGAGTAAAGGATCTGAATACTTCTTCCACTAGTGGGAATTAGTGAGATTAACGGTCAAACAAAGGAAGAAGATACACAAGACTGAAACTAAATC